TACTCTTCCATATCGCGCCAGCCCTGCCACAGATGTCGAGACTCGTCTGTCACCCGCAGCGAGATGACACCGCCAGGTCCTTGCATCATACCTGCACCGGCGCCCTTTCCACCTGCCGGTCCAAGACCCTTTGGTGAGCCAGCAGCGGGCTGTGAGAACTCCGGCTGCGGGAAGTAGGGGGCATCACATCTGCCAAACAGCTCCTCCAGCGCTTCGAGCTGTTCTCGATATCCCGGCGGGATGTTGACCTTGATTTCGATATTGGGCACGCGGACGTACTGGCATGGGCGGTCCAGGGCACGCGAGAACGCAGCGCACACCTGTAACGGGGAGAGAGTTTCGAAGGTGAGAGCAATACTAGATGAGAAGCGGTGTGTTAGCTTGCTTTTTGTTCTTTGTTTCTCATCTTTTCTCTCTTATCTTTCTAAGCCACGGACTCCCGACAGGAATCCGTGGCCCCGGAAGATATCCCGATTTTTTATGCTTTTTTTCCCTTCACTCACCGATGACCATTCCATTTCTTCGTGCCATCCTTGAAAATCTGCAGCAGAGTCGGACCAACATCGTGCTCGGCATCAAGCCACGGCAACGGAATTTCCGGATCGAACGGGGCACGCCACTCGAAGCTCCCATCTGGCAGGAGCTCCATCTGGAAGAGCGGATATGGCAAGCTCGTGAAGTTGTTATTGTAGATACCGGCGTAGACGAAGGTAGCGGGCATTCCGAGCTGACGGACGTAGTTCTCGACTGTGAACTTGGGGGCCCACTGGGGGACGGCGGGCCATGGACCGTGAACTGAATGATCCGGCATACTACTGTAGATGTAGTGTTGGATTGTGCCCGAGCGTTTTGCGGCGTCTGCTAGATCGCGGCCGATGGCGACCTCGTCGCCGGACTGGGAGGTGGTGTTGATGAAGGCAAGCTGGGCGCCTTTGAAGAGCTCATCCATCAGGGCGATGTTGCCGAGGAGCGGGCCTTGCAGGAGCGTCACATTGGGCAGTTGTTGGAGTTCTGGTGCGATTACGCCTTTCAGGGAATGGATTTGCGCGCGCACTGAATACCCCACGGCGGATGCGACGCGGATCAGTGAGGCCGCTTGTCGGCCTGTCCCGTTGACCACGGCAATGGTCTTCTGCGGTTGTGTCATCCGGGTTGATCGGGGAGGGACCTTGGGGAGTATAAGGGAAGTATAGAGAGGGAAGAAGAGGTTTATCAGAGAGGGGAGGACAGATAAAAGAGAAATCCGGAGTAAGCCTTGGCGAGAAGGGCTTTGCGATGGTGGGGTACGCGAGGTTGGAAAGTTGTATGTAACAAGAATCGTGATCAGACCTAAATTATGCGATTGGAACAGTCAGGAGTTCTCCAACTTGTCCTTTTGTCCTTCTGATCTGCAATTAATAAAATAAAATAAAATAAAAATATTTAAAAGTCTATAAAAAATCTATAAAAAATCTTATTCCACTTCCGAAAACGCGGAGAGACGAAAAGGATAAGATAAGAATTCTTTTCGTACAACTACACTCTATAAATGTACTCCTTATAGTACCTAGGTATGTTGACATGTATATTGTCATTCCTCTCAGTGTAATTCCTCTAATATTCGTGTTATATCCAAATATAACAAATCCCAAATCTGAAAGAAAAGAAAGGAAAAAAAAAATCCACAGTGCGGTCTCGTCCACGGTTTTTACGTAAATCGGCACCACACCTGGGACATTTTCGGCAGCACGGGAAGATCCTGATTCGGGAATTCTTATATAAGTGATTTCTTAGCTTTTGCTTCTCCAGGGGTACATCTATTCTATTCTATCCTATATACATATGTACCTATACAGATCTCTATTCTATAGGTAGACATCTATACATCCATGCCAAGCCTTGAAATCGAACCTCGGAATTCGGAAACCCCGAGGGAAATACTACCTAAGCTAGGAGTAGAGCTAAATCGCGCAGGTGACTTCATAGCATTACCATCGTCAAGAACTTCCTGTTCCACCAACTGTCTGCCAGGGACAGCCTCACGTGGTGTACATATCGGATATCTGCTCCAGGATGTGGGCTAGTGCTCGTCCAATAGCGGCGTTGGGGCCTTGGCACAGGTTGACGTGCTACACTGGCCATGCCATGTCCGACTTGCCATTCCACCCGATACGTCCATTGGCCAGGGTAACAAGGTACCTACAACATAGGTACGGAGTACCTTTTTAGCAAGAAATAGTTGGGAATTAGTCTGGAATTAGTCTAATATGTGGTGAACCCCGCAAATCCCAAAAGCCCGAAATATGACCATCACATCATTCCCTGCTGCATCAGCCACATGTGAGATTATTTTCGAGATCCATGAGGCAATCGTATTGAATGATACATATAATATACTCTTATACATATTACGTTGTAGGTTACGATGTGGGTATAGGAAAAAGCAAAGAAAAGAAAAAGCAAAAAACATGCAGACTACCCCACCATAAAAGAGAGTTGGAGTATTCCCCCCTTTACTATTAAGAACTATACAATCTAGAACCTCGACAATGTCCATTACCTTCTACCTTGGTAGTAACCTGTACAAATACAACATCAAACCCCAGAAAGGCAGAAAAAATAAAATAAAAAAGCAGGAAAAAAAAAGAAAATCGCTCTTATCTTCCCCACTTAGTGGCAGCATCCCGGCTACGGCAGGGCCCGATCTCCGCGGATGAAATTCCGTATTACAGCCTGGTAATGGTGCCACAGCTGAAAGAAGGCAATAGAAGTAGGACAGGGATTCTGGCGTGATCAAAATGGAGTATTCGGAAGATAATGTGCGACATTAACAAAATGGTGTCAGAATAAGCCCGAGGGGTACTCCATGTCTATTATTCTATACTGCATGTCATCACCGACGCAAAGCGCAGGCTTACCCGGAGGCCAATGCCCCCTAAAGAGAAAAGAGACATTCATATCTCCAACTATAGGTAAGCAAACAATCCTACATAAAGCAAGGAAGCATACGACACAATGCCCAACCCCAAAACCCAATCCAGCCCGGGCCGTCTGAGCCTAAACCTGAACCCGAAACCCCATGACGGAAAAAAAAAGCCAACCTAAGAAGGCGCCGACCCAGGAATCATCCGGTTCTTACCAGCGTCCTCCTCCATCTCCCGCTGGCTTATCTCTTTCGGCCCAACACCAGCCATACCCCAGACGAATGGACGGTGACGCGCCAGAAGCTCGGCGGCTGGTCGCTCGTCCGAATGCAGGTGAGCGCCTGATTTGCGGAGGAGGAGCGTGTGCTCGGAGAGGCCCGCGTTCGCAGCCAGGAAGAGCGGGGTGCGGCCGGCGCGATTGCGGAGGTGCACGGAGCCGCCTTGCGATAGGAGGAAGTGGAGGATTTCGATTGACGGGGATGTGGCTGCTAGATGCTGCGTTGGGTTAGTGGTGTGTACAAGATAAGGGTGTGAGAGATAGGGGATGGAGGGGTCTAAAACGGGAATGGGTGAGATCGGAGGACGCTTACGATGGGCGTGTTGCCGGAATAGTCGGCGTCGTTCAGGAGCCAGTGGTGTTCGGTCTTGGTGATGGCTTGGACCTTCTCTAGGTCGCCGTGCGCAATGGCATATCCCATTGATGTGAGTGTCTGGATGCGTTCGGGGAGTGCGCCGTCCGGGTGTCGGAAGATAGGTAGTGATGACTCGGTGAGCTCGCCTCGGATAGATACTGACATGCGTTTGGCGATGGATTCGGGTGTGGATTCTGGTAGGGCGAGCAGATAGGCGAGTTTCGTCAATGCTCCCTCGGTTGTCATGTCGAGTCCGGCTACGACACCCGCTCGTGAGAGACTCATGCCTGTGGCATAGACTGGACTTACGCTGCCCGTGAGGCCTAGAAGATATGTCAGTCGGTTACCCTTTATCGGCGTACCAAACCGTTGGGAATAACTCACATTGCGTGATGTTCACAATAACAATACCACGCTGGATAGCACTGGCCAAGACGTTGATCATGGCATTATCCTGACCAGAGGGCGCATTCCCCGCGCCAAAGGTCTCAAGAATCAACCCGCGCAAGCCATCCAGCTTCAGCACAGCATCCACCATCTCCGGTTTGATACCAGGGAAGATACGCAGACAAGCAACATGGGTAGTATCCAGGTTTGTCTGAATACTAAACGGCGCCAAGCTCGTAGGACGATGCACCATATCCCAATTAACATTAGTCCGCATAGAAGTCGTAATCGCCAATGGGGCACAATTCGGCGCATCGAAGGCGGCAAAGTCACTCGCTGCAACCTTCGTCGTCCGATTCCCCCGGAACAACCGATTATTAAAATACAAACACACCTCGGGAATCATAAAATGGCCCGCAACAACCAACGACCCAAGCAGATTATCCGTAGCGTCATTCTGTAGCTCAAGCATAGGCGCCTGTGACCCAGTAAGAACAACCGGCTTCCCGAGATTCTGCAGCATAAAGCTGAGCGCCGAACACGAGTACGCCAGACTGTCCGTTCCATGCAGGACAACAAACCCGTCGAAAAGCGTGTAATTCCGCTCGATCGCCTCGGCGATCTGAGTCCAGCCCTTTGCGTCGATTGAGCTGCTGTCGAGCAGTTCTTCAAACTCGAAGACTGTGTATCGCACCTGTCGCCCGTAGGCGGTCATTGGCGTGCGTAGGCTTGGATGTTCTTTGATTTCGTGTGCGGCGTTGGCAACCACGTCCATTGTTACGCCGGCCGAGCCGTCGTTGAAGCTTGGCACCCGCGCCATGCACTTTTCTTGGAACCCCCGCGCTGGGATGAAGCCGGCTGGTGAGGGCTGCATGCAGATTGTGCCGCCTGTCATGATGATTAGGACGCGCGACTCTTGTGCGGTTTCTTCGGCTCTGGCTTCGTCCAGCGCTGGAGTGATAGCCATCTTGGTGTTTCCTGTGCTGAGATGAGGGTTCAGGCCGGTAGAGATCATAGTGATATGGCAATTTCCGATTGTTGTGGTTTGTATCGTTTGGCCAGTGACTTGCGATTGCGGTCGTTACTTCAATGATAAATCCAACGAGGTCAATTGATATTGAATCAAGGCATTGATTCGTCAATTCATTCACGGTGAGCCACGATGAGGTGGGCTGTTGGGGAGATACTTCAGAAAGAGCCTCGGAATATTGGAGTTTCGATTCCAAAGTCCGGAAGCCGCATCAAATAAAAGCGTTAAAACGTTAAAACACTCAACTCCATCGATCGTCGATGATTGACTCTTTTGGCCGAAGGAGATGGAAGACTCCAACTGAACCCCAAATCGAATTACGTACAGCGATCACCATTGGTCAATTCGCATTTAAGACTTCGACTCCACTCCTAGCGATCTCGGAGTATAGCCAGAGTACTCCGGACTATACGACATAGTCGCACCTTATTAAATTCGACTCTTTTTATCTCATTTGGATAGTTTACAAGAATTTGCGCCCTCGGATTGATCTAAAAACGCCATGTCTATATAACTAGGCCTCCCCTTGATATTACAAACTTTTCTTTCAAAAGATCACGTGATGTCTAGTATATCACGCTGACTGAGGCCGCCAGCCCCAAAGATCATTACAATCGAAGCGTCCGATTGGCCTTTGTTCTCTTTTGAGCCCTTGAAAGAAACCGATCCGGCAGACGATACAACAAGGAGGCTTTGACAGCGGCACCCTTTACCCGCAAGCTACGATTATCCACATGGAAGGAACGTCGGAGATTCCTTCTGAGGATGTGAGCACTGTCCAGTGCGGCGATGAAGCAGAGAAACTCGGTGTGTCAGTCGTGAATATGCTGCTTAACAAGGGGGCGCGGGATCTATTGCCAGAACAATTGTAATCCATAGCTTAGCTGTATGTGCTTAGAATAAAAGGCAGGACCAATGAAAGTCTTAGGTGAGCTTTATTGTTATAACTGAGAGATTTATATATTAAACTCGATATTACTATTATATATTAGAAAGTAAAGTCTTTTACCACTTTCTTGGGTGGTATCGCTGATGAAGATGTTGGCGAGCGACTGGATGGGACATCTGCGCTATCAGCACTGTCATGATTCTGACCCTGCTCCTTGAGCTTCAATAGCTCCTCTTTCTTTTCCTTCAGAGATTGCCAGAGTTTGTGCTGCTGTCCTAGTCCTTCTCCGCCAAAATTGCTAACAATTCGGATTACATCGTCACACATATTCAGGGCATCTCCGATTTTTCCTTGGTCCTCATAGCAGTGCACTAAGAACCACATTACTTGAACTATATATGAAAATTTGGATATCAGCAAAGCTTGCTTTGCAGCACAAGTGTTGACGACTAATTGCCAAATGATAAGAATACCACTTACCCCGATCCCCATGCCCCCCATCTGCACGTTTTGTCTGTTCAAATGTTTGCTTCGTAATTATATCTTCCCAGATGGCCTGCGCCTCGGAATACCGTTCTTGACGCCAGTAGAGATGTCCAAGCCAGGTACGAGCTGTGAGAGTTCCTAGGTGATTTTCACCCAGGTTTCTTTGAGCAATGGGCAACCCTTTTAGAAAGATTTCTTCGGCCTCCTTAAACTGGTTCATGGCAGTCTTAATCTTCGCGACGGTCAACATGGATTTGAGTGTAAGCGGGTGTTCATGACCCAGTGTGTCTTTTCGGATCAATGTAACCTCCTCACTCATCTGTAGAGCAAGCGGAAGATGCTCCTCGCCGATAAACCCGTACATAGCGGCAAGACTGTCTTTGGCCTCTAAGGTTTTCTCGTGCGTAGGACCCAAGGTCCTTTGCATCCCCTCATATGCTTGCAGTTGCAGTTTAACCGCCTCTTCATGCTCAAAATAGCGAAGCTTGACGTTGGCAAGATTATCCAGGGCGGTCCATGTAGCTTCATGCTCTGGGCCAAACCCTTCTAACTTCGATAGACTTTCGATAACTTCTTGGTGCAGGCGATAGGCCTCTCGGTATCTACTTCCCAAGACGCATGTGGCACCAAGTGTATCCATGATCTGCAACGTTGTAGGGTGATTTGGACCATATAGCCTTTTGGCAGACTCCAGGACTTGATATTGTAGCACTCTCGCCTCGTTGTTCCGTGTCTGCCAAACGTAGTTCCTGGACAATAGAAACGCAATGGCGATGCTATACTCGGAATCTGGGCCCAGCTTTGCAAATAAATAGTCCTTTACTTGAAGTTGAAGCTCTTCCGCCTTGGACCAGTACCCGCAATGAAGGTAAACCAAACTGAATTTGGCATATTCCGTCGCTTGCAACCTCCCAAAGCCCGGCTGGGGCACCAGCAGCTTTAATGGCCAAAGCCAATGAGGAGCCCTCTGGTTTTCTTCAAACCGTTTCTTGATATCTGCCTGTAACTTTCGCACATTTTCCACGTGTGGATATATTTGCCTCTTTGTCTTTTCGTCCTGAGCCACATATGTGGATGGAGCTTGGAAAAAGATCGACTGCGCCAATATCGTGGCTGCTGCTTGGCACCAAACTGCTTGCTCCGCCGTACTAGTCTCAGGCCTCTGCCGCACCCAGGTATGGACCAATGGATGCATCCAATAACTATTATTGTCATCATGAAGTGTCAGCATGCCAAGACGAACTAGAAGAGACAACGCGCTGCGTAGCCGGTCTTCATCAAATGGGTCGTCGTCCTCGTCACGCAGGACAGCAGGCAGGATAATACTCGGTCTCGTAAGCGGTTCTATCACTGAAGCGGCCCAGTCATGAAAGGCTTTCATCCATGTTTTGGGTCTTGGCTGGACGGGTATTGATTTTACCACACGCTCCTTGGCTCGTGCATCTTCTCGTTCTCGCCGAGGGTTCGAAGCTGCATTTGTTAGGAGGTCAAACTCGATGTTCTCCCAGTAGAGGAATGAGAAAGTCTTCAACAGTTCAATGGCATCCCTGGATTGGTCGTTGTCTTTACTTTCGAGGCCAAGATATATCATCTCATATGAAGAATAGACACTCATATTCAACGCATGATTATCCTCGTGACCATGAGAGGACCTTCGAGTTCGATCGCGGCGGATTTTATTCCACGTTCGCTCGTAGTACTCGGGATAGTCATTTAGGGAACACAGTTTTTCCAATATGGCCTTTCCGGCGTGAATGAGCGCAAGAGGCAAATATCCTAAGATTTGGGCGGCTCGCTTGGCGTAGGATCTTGTGAGTACTCCCCAAGGACGTGGGGAAGCGGCAGCCGCCAGAAGAAGGTCACTAGCTTCTTCGCTCTCCAACTTGTCGAAGTGAAAGAAGCGAGAACCATCCGTCCCATATCCTTTATTCGTAGGGTTGCGAGTGGTGATGAGAATCACGCCTCTTTCCCCTCCTGGAAAGTAGCGCATCACGTCGATATCGGGGTCATCCGCATTATCGATGAGAAGTAGCCATGGGTGCTGTAAACTAGAAAGCCAGTTCTTTGCTGCGTTTTCGTTCGGTTCGACGCCCCCGATTTTGGCAATTCCCGCGAAGGAGTGCTTGGCATTTTCGTACGAACTCCCATCGATCCAAAAGACACCCCAGAAACTAGACATCGTCGTCAAAATTGTCCCATGTGCCTGTAATTTCATTAATAAACTCACTGTTCCCTGTTGTCTTGCGCAAATTTGCAACAGAATTGTGTTTTCCCAGAACCTCCAAGGCCATAAATGACGAAGCGCTTTTGGTGGTCTTGAGGTTCGCGAGAGTTAACGACGTCGAGTGTGGATTTAAGCATATCTAACTGCTCCTGTCGGCCAGTGTAATAACTGCTGACGGTTTGAGGCATTTCGAAATGCTTGTTGAACCTAATTAGTGATGCCACCGCGTCCGCGGAAACGAGGGAATCGTGGAGCTTGCAGATGTGAGCTTTTATACTACATCCATAAGAGATTTTGAGTGACTCACCTTGTCTGGGTCGGTTGAGCCTTGGAGAATCCGGCGAAGATTTTTGATTCTTATTGCGAGCTTATTGTTTTGGTGCTGCAAGTTCTCTGGTAGCGAGTCCACAGTACGGTCCGCTGCTGCACGCGATTTGAGCGTGTATGAGCTACGCTTGGTTAGCCTTTTCCCATATACATATATCGTGAATGATTTCTCGGACATACAGGTTAAGCGCACTTAACAACATCTGGATACCGGCTTGGTTATTGGCGAGGCGCTGGCGTATTTGCATGTATTCGCCGTCTCGATCCTGTCTTCGGATCGTCTTTCTAAGACCATCGAGCTTACCCGCTACGAGGGCGTGTTTCTTGCCAACGACCTCCTTCAGCAGTACCTCGAGCTGTTCAATGGTCCCCTTGCTTTGCTGCAATAGCGATGCCAAGTTCTTCCAAACATTACTCGCATGAGATCCATCGTTGGCTGGCATGTCAAAGCCATCCAAGTCATGCCTTGAATGCCAGAAGTCCTCGACTGAGTCATTTACAGCAACGAGAGCTTCGATTTCTTGCCCTAGAATGGTGATTTCATCCTGGATTTTGGACGTTGCGCTTTTAAGAGACGTGAGATAAGAGATGAGACGGATGGAGACGTCTGCCAAACCAGCAGTTCCAACTATAATGGAGAAAGGGTCCATAATATTGTAAGTGGGAACTCTCGTCAAGGAAATATAGAGACAATAGAACGGAGGCGGACTTCTTCTAAGAAGTGTGATGGGCACTGTGGATATGGAAATGGGGGGGCTCACCATGAACATCTGCACTAAAATTGCATTGGCGACGCTAGTCTGATTTAATGATTCAAGGTAAGCCAGCCGCTGAACAGGCTTGGAGGCATCCAGTAGCAACACGACAACCAATTAAACAGAAGCGATATATGACAACAGATTGCCGATCAAGAAAATACGAGAGTGGCGCTTCAGCCCTGGAAAAGCAAAGGTGCAAAACTGCCCAACAGACACAAGCTAGCACGCCATAGAATACCATAATGTACAAATAAATAAAATGGGGCGAGCCCGGGGTGCTCATATCCAAATTCTGCCTCTCTCCCATCATGTACGGAGTACGGAGTACTTAATGGGTTCGATGGCTTTGTACGTACCACATACTAGGCTTTACACTAGCGCGTAAATAACAAGGAGGCTGCACCAACCAGACTCCTAAAATACAAGTAGAACCCGAAATATTACCAGGTGGATCCTTTCGGCTCCAGGAGGGCCGGCCCGTTGGCCATTTCCAAAGCTGTGCTGTGTCCACCCGTGGACTTGTCACACGTTTTCCTACTTGCGACTGGGTTCACAGTCCAGAGATGGCCTTGTGTTGTATATCCCTATAAACTCCCATGGCTGGGAATCGAAGATTCCAATTGGTGAGCTAGTTAATTTCAGAAGCCTAAGCCTCGGCAGTCAATTTGATTTTGATGATTTGATCAATTCTCATCATTTTGCGCACAAAACATCCGTGGATACCGGGATTACTAGTGTCTGATATGCTATAGAGAAGCTATGTACTTGTACATTTGGATGGTTCAAGTAACCCCTGATCGAGCAGGACCCGAAACCTATCAGCAAGTAGGAGCCCCGTATTCCTGGCTGGCCAAAATCAGTGGATTCTTGAACCAATCACCTTCCTCGAAGTGTTTTGTGGAGAAAACTGGCCCCAAAAACGGCAAGGCCCGAGCGAACCGTGCCCCCCAGCTGATAAACTAGCGTGAACTAGGGCACCTAGGCATGGTCGAAATTCCGACTTCCTCACCTCCAGAACCCTGACTTTTCTTGTAAATGACTCTCTTTCCAATCATCCACCTCACATATACATGATCCATCCCTTCGGTCCTCACCTTCAGCATGAACCTATTGCAATGGTTTCAGAGCCCTCTCGGAAGCAACACTACGACAATAAATTTATGGGGCGCTATCTTTATATTAATAATTCTCAATTACATCCTATATCATGTCCTACAAATCTGGCGCAGACATGTAGTGAGTGACCTAGTTTGGTGTCCTATCCAAGTAATTGACAGCGTTAGCACGACAAATCATTCGGTGATAGCCACGGCTGCTTACCGATGGAGACATGGATCCCTTACAAATGGCCATTAGCGCTTGACATCCTCAAACGGCAATATGATGCATTACCAGACCAGCGACTACTATTATTTCAATCCCAATACTTTGACAGAATCGGGCCTAATATGACATTTAAACTGTTTGGAAATCAAGGCTACCTCACTGCAGACCCAAAGAACGTGGAATCCATACTCTCAACGAATTTTGAAGGTATTTGCCCAATCCTCCTGCCCGCAAGGTTTTGTCTTACTCTCGAAAGATTGGTGTCTTGGTTCCCGGCGACCTGGTCTCATGCCTATGCTAGGCGAAGGCATTTTCACGCAAGATGGTCGTCCATGGAAGCATTCCAGAGAGTTGCTCCGCCGCCAATTCGTACGAATTCACCGGCAAGATTCCAAGATTTTTGATGAACACGTCGAAAATTTGATTTCAAACCTCCGCTCTGCAAGTGGCGTGGTAGATTTACAACCTCATCTTTTCCGCTTTACTCTAGCCACGACGACGGCGCTCATCTTCGGAGAACCAGTCTTTGCTTTGCCAGGAGCAGAGACGGATACTTTTGAGAAGGCCTTTGATTACGCCAGCTACATTAGTGCGATCAGACTTCGCCTTGCTGATTTGGAATGGATATACAAGCCTGCTAAATTTAGGGAAGCTTGTGCGGTCGTCAAACGATACGCGTCTCACTTCGTGCAGCTTGCCCTGGACGATATGGAGAAAAATGGCGAGGAAGCAGCGTCGGAGAAGCACGCCTTTATTCTGGAACTTTACAAGGAGATGCGAGACCCGGTTCTCGTTAGAGATCAATTAGTCCATGTGCTTATTGCTGGAAGGGACACGACGGCATGTCTGATGTCATGGGCATTGTTTCTCCTCGTGCGACATCCCGAGGCTCTCGGGAAACTTCGCAGCGAGATCCAACTTGTCACCGGAGGATCGCGTGAATTAAGCCGGGCAAAAATTAGCAAGATGACGTATCTCCGATGTGTGATCAATGAAAGTCAGTCTACACCCAGCCCAATCTTCCAATTGAGATATATGCTAACGATGAATTCGTATCTAGCTCAACGACTATACCCGCAACTTCCAGTCAACGTCCGCGTAGCCTCTAAAACGACATTTCTCCCGAGTGGAGGTGGCCCTGATGGCAAATCCCCGGTACTAATACCCAAAGACACGGGGGTCGGCTATTCAGTCTACCACATGCATAGACTAAAGAGCGTGTACGGTGAAGACGCGAACAGTTTCCGTCCCGAGAGGTGGCTGGGTTCAGAGCTAGATGGCATTGGTTGGGGATTCATGCCTTTCCACGGGGGGCCGAGAATATGTCTGGGCAGTAAGTGATTTATTTTATGAGAGTAGTCAGTAGAGCACTTATACTAACTAGATTGACAGAGGAATTCGCACTGACAGAAGCTTCGCATGCAATTATACGAATCATCCAAACATTTCCCGAGCTCAGGTTACCACCTGAAACACCTATTGTTCCACCCGGCGAGGAGAAGCAAGCCTTGACGATTGTGGTTATGAGTGCAGAAGGATGCAAGGTTTTGTTGGATTGAAAGGACGGATACGTAGCTGAGACATCAGCGAGTGTAGAAGTTAAAATTCATATTAGCAACCATAGCAGCTCGGTATCTTGGAAGAATTTTAAGACTAATGTATAGTAAGAATGATATCGATAGCCTAAGATGATCACCAGCTAGTCTCTTGACGGCCACCCCGGATTGAATTGCGACAGGTCCTCCTCCAAAAGCCCCATCATATACTGATTCCCCCAGAACCAATTCCCCAATTGTGCTGCAGTCCCCGAATCCTGTCCCTGTGCTTGATATGAATCGACCGGCGCCGAGAAAGCGCCCACGTTCTGCTGCGACAATTCCGCCGAACTAACATTCACACCAGGATTATATGCCTGGAAATATCCCTGCGAGTTTCCCATCTGGGAACTGCCGTTGTTCTGAGGATTCATGGGGTTTGTAGGCGCTAGTCCGAGCGCACTGAGATAAACATCGAATTCCTGACCGACCTCAATGAGATTTTGGTCTTGGTCTGCGGCTGTCTGAGTCCGAGTATTGGCTTCGAAGTAAAGGCGGGCGACGGTGCCGAGCACCGACGATAGGTTGTACAGTCGGTCGATGGACTGGGAGAAGGTACTTAGCGGCTGGAGGGAGGCGACGAAGTCTTCCAGCCGGGCGAGGTCGTCGGCGTTGGAGGTTGTTATTATGTTGCAGAATATTACTATAAAGGGGACGAAGGGGGACATGAGGATGGCCCTGTCATTCGATTGTGAGAATTTGTTGGTCTGAGATTGTGCGACCATTGCATCGGGAATGCAGCTATTGCTAGGGTCGTTTCGAAATACTTACCAGTGCATATATGATATTTTCATGAAATAGTCTGTCTCATTGAGCTCTGCAACGCACTGTCGGTGGATTTCCAAGGCTTCCCGGGCTGTCTCAATGCATTCGGGTATGAAGGTGGCGACTCGGCCTGAGTCGGCTGATGCTGGAATTGCTCGATAGATCAAAGTCAGGACGGCCAGCCGATTGACCTTGTCGGTTGCGAGGTACATGAGGTCCATTTCGGATACTTTAGGTTTGGACAACATGAATTTCTAGGTATTTCACGTTAGCGACTCCGTCATTCGATCATATCCCAATACCCCAAATCACAGTTTTGGGGGGGGGGGGGGGGGAGGGT